TCTTTTTTCAATCAATTCGTAACTATCAAAGAAGATTTTTATTTTTTTAATTTTGGATTGGTATTTGGAAAAGATGAACATACGTTTTTTAACAAGGGATCAATTTATACAATATAATTTTTTTTTTTAATTTTACATATTTTTTTAATCATGTTTTCTTGTATATAAGATTTTGAATAATATGAGAAAAATCAGTAACTCTATACCATTCAAGCATGTTCATTTTGTCGTATATAAATTGAATTTGAGATATTCAAATTGAGATTAATTTCAAGTTCTAATCAAGGGATATTCTTAGGAGATAAAAGACAGAATTGACAACACTAAGAAATGTTTTCTTTTATATATCAATCCAAACCTATCAAAGAACATTTCTCTTTATAGTAGATGGGGTGTTTGAGACTAACAAATATGTCTATCCCTAAAATGCTAAACTTTTAATTTAAGTGATCAAGATTCAATTTTTTTATAATTTAATTATAAAAAAAAAGGATTTATGAGGCAACTCTTTTCATTTTAAGATAGATTGAAAAAGAGAACTTTGGGTTATATTTGTATAATATGATGTCATAAATGTGTAAGCTTAGGGTGTGCTAACAGACAAAATGAAAGACTTTCACCTAAAAAAATTGACACAAAGTAGTGACCCTTTGCATAAGAGAGAGAGAGAGAGAGAGAGAGAGAGAGAGAATTAAAGGGAGACAAACCACACGAGTGAATGAAGGACTAAAGAGTGTGACTCCTGAGGTACAAAGCTGACATTTGTGGGGTCTTATTAATAAATCATATTCAAATTGAAATACACACAAAGCAAAAACAAATACTACTACCAAACATCAAAGACATGATCGGTTTTGTTTATGGTCCATGTGTTTTTCTCAATCCCCCCTCCCCTCCCCACAAAAAAAAAAAAAGAAAGAAAAACCCTTTCCTTTTTCTTTCAAATATTTAAAAAATATATATGATTAAATGGGTTCGTAGCAAAAATTATTGAAATTAAAAAAATTATGGCACGCGCAATTATTTTTTAAAGCATTTTTCGATTGTGATGGGTAGGTTTAGTTCTTTTTCTCATGCTATTATACTAATATACAGTATTATAATTTAAGTAGCTAGATGACATTGAAAGGGATTTAAAGGTTAATAAAATGGAGCATGTCAAAGCCAAACACTAGAAAATATATTTCTTGTATGCTTTGATGTGATTGATTCATGCTAAGAGAGACTATCTGTTTGCTAAGTCATAAGTCAATAAATTCTAACCATTCAACAGGAGTCAACTGATATAATTTTGGTGTTTGACTTTTGTAGAGGGTTGAAAACCAGCATGGAGCAAATTGAGTGGTTTAAATTCTTGGCCTTGGGGCTTTGATTTAACCTGTTGAAATTTCTTTGAAAAGGAATGACTCTAGCCCTCTATATATTAATTAGAATAAGGTTATGAATTTGAAGGTAACCCAAATATTCTTTTGGTATATATAATTTTTTATATAACAATACAATCGATGCTATATTTTAAGTTTTGTTTAGGGTTTACAAACTTGGTTGATAAAAAAAAAATTAACTCTTATTTTTACTAATTGGACTAACCCTTGTGTCGTCTATGATTTTAAGTTATATAATAAAAAAAAAATCTTCATTCTATATCGTTATCATTTTTATATCAAGATTCAAAGTCGAAATTTTCTAAGTTTGCGAAAATATCTTTTCGAGGACATCATCCTTTGTTGAATCAGCATCCAAGGTCAAATTCTTCATTGAGTCAGCATCCAAAGTCAAAATCTATAATTATCAATCTATATACACGCCTATATGTACACATATTATATCTAAAAATTTGTTGCCAATATTTTTTTTTATATATATAAATTTGCTTTGGTTATCATAAAATACTATAATATCGCCGTTACACCCCACTCATGATTCACATTTCTACAAAAAACCAAGTAAGATTTCCACTTTGATCCTTATAATAGCCAAAAACACCATTTGCCAACTTTTAAAAGTTGTTGGCTCTCCCAAAAAGACAAGAGGTTATGGATATAAATATTTAATAACTAGAAATAATTCAACCAAAATTATTAATTTTATATTAAAAAAAAGGGGAGATCCCTAGTTTCTTATTCTAGTAATATCTATTAATTTTATATTTAATTAATGGCAAAATAGTTTTTTTATTATATTTTATTATTTTTAATATAAAGTCAGAAGTCTACCCATTGTTTAATGAACCAAATGTTTATATATAAATTCCCACCTATGTAACTTGTCCACATTATAATCATCCTTACCAACTCCCTAAAGCTATATTCTCATCATGTAGGCTAAAACACTTTCAATTTAGGGTTTTATTTAGGGCACAATAGTTTCAGTTTATATTGATTTGAACTTTAATAAAATATCTACAATCAAATAAATAAACATGAAAAAAATAGTTAGTGCTCTTCATTTTTATCTATAAAACTATTATTGATTGTCTCAACCAGAGACATAAAAATTAAAGTTAAAGATTTTATTTTGAAAATATCTATTCAAATTTTGAGATGAATAAGATGATATATCTAAAAAAATCTACTATGAAAATAATATACAAGTAGTTGATAACGATCAAATACTTCACGTGTAAGAGATTTTTTTTTTTTGGATAATTTTTTTTAATGATAAATAATCTCTAAATTCAATATAAATTTTTTCTAAAACTTGTCTACTACCCTTATCTTGAAATGAAAAAAAAACCTTCTCTCACTCTTTTTTTTTTTTTAGTAATTTTAAAGAATTGCAAGATTTAAGAGAGTTTGTGCCTTAAACGACCATCTCTCTTTTCATTGACTTTGTTAGAACTCACATGGGGTTTGAAAATTGTAATTTGAATTTCCACCACGAAAAATATAAAAATATTAAGGTCATGATCTTTCAATACAAAGATGATGAGTAAATAAGAAATTGACTAGTAGTGGGCATGTGTTTCGTCACCTAATTAGCCATCCCACCTTGGTGGGGTGGGTTGACATGGATCTTCAGTCTTGACCCTCTTTGATCAAACATTCCTTTAGCTAGCTAATCTTTTTAGTCTAGTGAATTGAATTTTGTTTTAGTCATTTAGATTGGCCCCCACCTTTCACAAACCTTGTTTTATAATCTTACAATATTTGAAGACTTGTGTTGAATGCTGTTTCATTGCTTGTCCTCTTATGCTTTTTTCTTAGAAAAATCTTTCTTTCTTTTTCTTTGGTCGGTTTCTACTGTAATTCCTCTTTCTCTTTGGTTTCTTTGGGGTTATAATTACTCTTCATATACGTTTTGCTAGATTTTTTAAAAATGAAAAGAAAATTTTGAATTATATTTTTTAATATAAATTAAATATGATAATTTAAAATATCATATAGTGATACAATACAAATACAGTATGAATATAGAATATAAAAGTAACACAGTTTAAAATTTTAATAATAATTATACATAGATTTAACAAAATCAAAAAATATATATTTTATGTTTTTATATTGATATAAATTATAATATATAATTTTTATATAAAACATGAAATAAATATACAAATTTTAATATTTTACTCAATATAAATACATAAATTATCAGATCTAATAAAAATCATAAATAATATCATTAAATCAAATACTGTGAGTTTTATGTTTTATTAGTTCATGCATGTTATGCTATTGGACTTGAATCAGAATTACATTACTAGTTATGGGGTCAAACCATTTTTTTGTTTTGTCTTTCACATATAATTGAAATGAAGAATCATGCAATTATTGAGCTCAACATTTTCCTCATTGTCTCTTCTAAAACTATACTCTTGTCCCTTTGAGGGCAATGGAATCAGGCAAGAGATATCAAAACTTCCCTGAAGTACCATCATTTGGCAGTTATTGCTGCAAAATTGATTGGAAGAATCTACAGTCCTATAAGATTTTTGTGAGGTTTAGGGCAGTTGGGTCAGTTTCTAGGCCAATAGCTTGACAGCATGACCTCATATTTGCATCAATAAAAAAGAAATCTATATACTTTTTTTCTTCTTAATAAAAGAAAGGGGTGCTATATTATTGCCCCTTTGTTATATATAAATAAACATCTGATTAAAGTTTCTTTTCTCTAGAGTTTTAAAAGAGTAGGACCATGAGGAGCCTGGAAAAGTAAGGGGTTTTTTTTTGAAGGGATCATGATGGAAATATGAAGAGGAGTGATTGGATGGACCTACTTGCTACATTCCCTTTCTTCTCTTGTCATCATTAATGTTTAGGGCCATCCCCCCATTTTTCTGTCAGATCCTGTTAATTATGGGAAAACCTAAACAGGAGCTGACCTTGGATTATCTCAGTTTCATTAGCACATAAGATTAAAGAGAAAATTGTTGTATGACAAGTTCTATGAATATAAAATAAGATTAATGTCATTATTGATCCTCAAATTATAATAAAATATTTTAATATAACATTTGAATTTTAAAAATTTTTAATGTAATATTTGAATTATAAATCTATTAATTAATATAATACTTAAATGATTGGTTGTCTATAGTATCTTATATATAGCAGGAAATAAAATTTGAAAATTCTACAATTAGTTTATACATTTTTTTTCATTATCCATTAAATATAAATAAAGAAATTTCTTTTATCTAAGGGTATGGATCACCCACAACTCATTTTTCTAAGTCCAAGATATAGTCATCAACATGATCAAAACTGGCCTAAAAATCAACAATGGTTACAAGTAAAGCTCCATTTAGCAGTGTATGGGCTTGGAATCAGCAACTTTGGGTCCAAATTTTATGGTCATTTTCCGACATATGTTACAATTTTAGGTCCATTTAGCAATGCTTTGGGTTGGAATCAGCAGCCTTGGACCCATAATTTTATGGTCGTTGGCCCACAATGATTACAATTTTAGGTCCATTTAGCAATTTTATGGGCTTGAAATCAGCACCTTTAGGTCCATATTTTTTATGGCCACTAGCTCACAATATTACAATTCTTGCATTGAGGAATGCTATGGGCTTGGAACAGCACCCTTAGGTCCAAATTTGTAAAACTATGGGCTTATTAATCAAAGACCAAAACGACATCTCAACCAATTGGACCTATTTGCATCCAAAAATAATTGGCCCAATTTGACGTTTTGGTCACAAAAATGGAGATTAGCTAAAATGGCCGCGTCAGTAAAAATGGAAAATGCACTCTTTTCAGTTCAGGTCAGCCATGGATCTCCTTTGCAAAGCCAACTCCAACAACAGTTCTGACGATGAACCCGAACCCGCAAACCATCACCCTTCCTTTCTGCCCTTCAAAACGGCCCAAACTTGAATGCACATTTCCCACAATGAATCTTCAGAGGAGAGGAGAAACTCCGGTTCCTGGCAGATACGTATCCAAGAGGGAGCAAGCACTTCCCGGTTCCGTTTCCCAGGCTGTTGAATCAAACCCGAATCACCAGATCCTCATTTCACCACTCAGACAGGTAATTCTTGCTTTTACCTTTTTCTTTCTTCACCCAGGCTTTTAGCGGCCTTTTATTTATTAGTGACTTTTTTTTTTTTGGTTTTTGTTTGTTTTGGGGGGTTTAAAGTTTCAATTTTGATGATTATTTAGTTGAAAACTAAGTAAAAGAGGAAATGGGTTGTCTTGTTAGTGATGAAATAATTAGTGTTTACAATTATAAGCTCACCTTTTGTTTTGTTTTGTTTTTTTTCTTTTTTTTTTTCAATTGGAGAAATTTGGGATTGAATTGGCGATGACCCATTTGATCAAATGCTTAAAGAGAAGTCTATGTGGCAAGAAAAAGTTAGAATTTTTCATGTAAAGTTGATTGCTGTTACTACCTTTTGGAAAGGAGGAGGCTGAGGCTCAATTGCCCTGCACTCTATTTTCTATTCCTTATATAATTCGATATTCTTATTCAAAGACTAGTGCTTTATTTTGAGTGTTGCCTATGTCTTGTGCCTGATCTATTTGATGGATCTTATATATATTTATATTTTGGGTATTAATATGATAATATCTTACTCATCTATTCTACGGCTTGATTTAGAATTGCTTGTGTTTTCTTTGTGTACACCCTTAAAAGATTGGAGCTTCAAAGAGGGTCTGGGAAGCGAAACGCAAATAGATATGAGCCCTTGAATGATAGAAAGAAAATTTTAACATGGTTTTGTTCCTGTGATTGGCATCTATCTGATGGAGGGTCTAGTCAAATCAGTGAGAGAGAGAGCTGCATTGTATGTAGGTGCTAGAGAGTTGCATATCTGTATCTTTGAGTGTTTTTGATGTCTAATCCAAGGACCAGAACAAGAATTTGTATAAGCCCTCGAATTATTGAAAGAAGTATTCAATAAATTCCAAATATTTGACCAGCTTATTGATTGTTATGATCATCTCCGTTTAGAGCAAAAATGGAAACAATAAAAACATTGAATATTCCTTTGTACATAAAATGAAATTTCAACAATTCATAGAACTCATGAATTGAAGCAAATTTATTCGTGTTTGCTTCCTTATCATGATCATGTGAAAAGGGGGCAAATCAGAATGTCTAAGACTGCTTGTTATCTTCTATAGTTTTATGGAATAGTGTCTATAACAGTAATGCTTATGCTAAGTTGATGTACTCATAAGCTGTTTACATGTGTCCATATTAACTTTTACTATAATCGTAGAAACCTGTCTCCTTTTCTAGCTGATACAGTAAATTCTTGTTCTCAGTTGTAGGAAGAATTTCAGTTTTGGATCTTCTGAATGATGTTCTGGCGTCAATGCAGCATAGATGAATGGGCTATATTCAACTAAGTCAATTTCCTGAGAAGCTGTCCGTAGCCCTGCATGACCATGCAAAAGCTGTTAATGCTGTTCATTGGTCACCAACTCAGGGTATGCTCTTATTTTTTAAAACCGCTGACTTTGTGTTTTAATCTCTTCAGTTGCAAGGATGTTGTTTTAGTGCCTTTTTTTATTGGTCTAAACTTCTGAGTGCCACTTCAACTATTGAAACTCAAGTTTCGGTTCATATATCATTCTTATTGCATGTGCCACTGGCCTTATTGATCTGCTAATTGTAGTTAGTTTACAGCTCATCGACTTGCTTCTGCTGGGATGGATCAAACAATCTGCGGATGGAATGTACGGAGCAGAGATCAAAAGAAAGCTTGAATTAAGTGGTCACAACATGGGTTATTTGTACTTTCTTGTGGATGTGACGTTTCATCAAAGTTGATTGATGTTAAAAAGGGACTTGAAACACAGAATTTTAAAAAGGATCAGGTTGTTAGATTTATAAAATTCCTATCTAGACAACTCAAACCTGTTCCTTTTTGGGGGATTAAAGGGCAAACTCATATTGTGGGATCTTAGAACTGGCAAGGTGGTACATTATATATTCGAGGTCTGGATCCAATTCTTGATGTTGAATTCACCGTTGATGGGAAGCAATTTTTATCTTCCAGTGATGTTTCTGGGGGTAATGTCAGTGAAAATTCTATTACTTTGGGACATCTCTAGATGCATTCTGCTGTCTAATCAGGTTAGAGATGCCTTTCAACATCATTTAGTCTCCATTACTGAGATTTTTATGGTAAAACTATTTCCACCTCACATTGCCTCCTCTTAGTCTCATTAATCGTTCTCCTTTCTTTGTTGTTGCCGAAAGTTTAGCATATGGCTACCCTCCAACCTAAAAGTATTACCTTTTGCTATACTGTTTTTTTAGCATAGCTTCCTATTATGGTTGTTAACAGATCACTAACCAAAATGAATAGATACTTTAAAATATATTTTAAAGCAGTTTTATTTTAAAAAGAAGCAGCACAATGAAGGATGCATACTTATCTATTACTATGTTTTCAAGTTATTGGATCCTACTGTTTTAGGAATTGTCATTTCAGCATATATCTGTATAATATCAACATTTATTCCATTCCCTTTCCTTTATGCTTCAAACCGCCTTGTTTCCTTTTTTGACCAATGCTTTAAGGAGAACAGTGAAAGCATCTGCTGACTCAGTTAAGGGGGGCTAATAGCCCTTATATCTATGCTTTGCCCTAACCCAAATAGCACTTCTAGTTTAGATTTATAGGTCTTTTAATAATTTCTCAGCACAAATCACAAAAGCCTCGTAACTATAATTTGGGTTTGGTTACACCAAGTAAATCAACTAAAAAGAAAGAATTCTACTTTAGCAAGAGTTATCCACTTATCCTTAAACTATTGAACGGAGAGCCAGAGTTGCTGCATAGAAAACCTGTGCACAAACTTTAAGATAGTGTCTCTACAAACTTTGACAAATGAGCCATTGGCTTGTTTGTTGACTTGCCACTTAGCTTTGCTGTTCACGTTGGACGGTTCTAATAGAGTTGTTTGAATACTGCCTCTTGAGTTATACTTATCAACTTAAGCTAGGTTCAATTAGTTGCATGACTTTAGAATTTGACATGAGTCCTGTCATTAAAACACACATACATGCATAAAATTATTGCTTTTTGTATGGAAGAGAAAAAATGCATAATCAATCAACCATGTCAAAATATTATACCCGTGTAAGACTGTACGATTGATATTCCATCGGACTAAAGTCATGTTCTTCAATTTCTTGTGTCACTTCTATTCCCTTTTAAATATAAAAGGAGATGTAAGATATGGCTTAGACAGCTAGATGCTATTTTCTTGTCTTTGGAATATAGGTAATTAGACTTGTGTATAGAATATTAATGAATGCATAGAAGGTAACAACTTTGCTTATTCTGGTTTTGTTTCTGGTTTATGCGGAAGCCTACATTTGTCCTTGTGTTAGGTACCACCCATTTGATCCCTTTTTTGTGGCCCAATCTGGTGGAAATTATATTGCCATTTTCTCTTCAAGCTAGACAAGTATAAAAGGTATGAAAGCCATGGATAGTATCAGGATTTGCAGTTAAGTGCAATTTCAGCGTGGATGGGAAGAAGCTTGTTTCTGGTTCCTCAGATGGTTCTATATACTTGTATAACTGTCGGTGGTTGTCAAGAAAATCAAGGCATACGAGTAACTGCTTCTTGCTGTTGGCACGGAGATGTTTCAGTGTTTGAGTGAGACAGCTTATTTATCCTTAATTCTAGGACAAGCAAAAGAATCTTGAAAATACAAATATGTATAAACCAACATCTTACTCTTTGTTCTTAATGTGTGGAAAAGCACAAGAGAAACAGAATCAAAATCATTGTCAATCACAGTATCTCAGTCGTTTCTGTCTAACTTTTGGTGGTTCTTTCCAACATGGTCTTACGTTTTTTCCTTTTTCTTGTAACCCTTCACCAAGAAAACAAGGCTGGTAGGCTACAGTCAAATAATCAATGCCAACGGTAACGTAATCTGTTGATAAAATATTGGATTTGAATTTTTAGTACTTTATTATTTTTTATTTCTATCACAACTTACAAGTAAATAATTGAACATCTAATACATAAAACAATAAGAAAAATTATATCATGAGAAAAATATCCAAAAAATTGCAGGGTGAGACATTGAATTATTTAATACTGATATTATTCCTTGACCATCCTTAAACTCACTTCATAAAAATGAATCCAGCATTTGTGACATTAATCTCTTTCATCTGAAATGCAAATGTTGGATTCAATTCAATTTTATTATTATTTTTTTTTTTTAGAAAAAATCCGAAAATAGATAGGGTGATCAATCCCTTAAGTGAAGGTAAAATATACAGCACTTGACAGTCTAAATTAGATTGTTATAAGTCATATATTCGAGATAATCTCAACAAACGATCACGGGCAAAACTTGAATCCAAAATCTCTTTGTTAAAGAGAACAAATTTTAACCAATTGAACTTGGTAATTTAATTCAATTTTAAGTTATCAAAATTACATTAAGACCAGAGTACCAAACAAAATCTGAAAATATTTTTGATCATTTTTTTTTAAATTTTGAAGAAAGATGGAAAGAAAAGGTAACAACACCCTTGAAGTTGTGGAAATTTGCTGCTGAATGTGGCTGTCTGGCAGTGGTGTAGCTGTTATTCACTGTCTAGGTACCACTAACCCATACCTACCATCATATAACAGGTAGAATTCATTTAAGAGTTTGATGGCTGTGGGGGCATATTCAAAGCTCTGCTTAATTTGTGTTCATCCACCTCCCACCCCTTGCATGAGAAATCAAGGGAGAGAGGAAATGAGAGGAAAGGAGGGGGGCCAAAAGCCAAAAATGATACTTAAACAAAAAGGCATAATTATTCAATTCCCTTTACAAAGTAGCCATGGGTGGTCAATTGCAAAGGAGGGGGAAAAGAAGGGGGGGGGGGGGGGACAAAGCACACCACCTCCCTTTTTAGATGCATTTGCAAAAATGGGTCCAATCAAAACCTTCCAACCTCCTACCGTCTTTCATCAACACATTACAAAAACGCAAACCATAAGTCAAAAAAAAAAAAAAGAGAAAATTATATTTATTTAATGAAAAAAATCCTAATTAAGCACTATCTAGACAAACCAACATTTTTCCAAGACATGCATGGTCCACAAACCACCTCTTAAAACTATGTCTATTGGCCAAAAAAAAAAAAAAAAAAACAAAAAACAAAACCAAAACCCATGCCTAAAATTTATTGATATCCCATTTAAGTGAGGAACATAGTCATGTATCCTATCTGCCTATGTGCTTACTGTTTTTTTTTTTTTTTAATTTTATTTTTTCAACTTTGCATATGAATATGTTCCCCACTTTAACTGGTCTCCAAAGCCCTTGTTATCATCTCTCTCTAAAACCTCTATCTCTTCGTCCCAAAAGAACGATCGAAAAGAATGGACCAAACACAAGAAGCAAAGGGTGATGAAGCTTTGAGTATTTGCCCCTATTGCAAATGACTTCAATCATCATCTAAAAGAGATTTACTTTTTATTTTTGGTTTTTTAAGTACTTGTGGTCAAGCGGGTGTTCGCTCAATAACGGACCCCATTAGCTAGCCTAACCAGGGACAAGAAATGATGGGCTGAAAGGTTTTAACTAAGCAAATTGATCTCACTGGGATTGGACATTAAGTACTCCCCGACTTATACCCTCTCTCCAATATTTGTCTAAATCAACTTAATTCAAAATTACTTTGTAATCTAAACTAAATTAAATTGATTTATATAATTATTTTTAAAAAATAATATTCAATGATAAGGCATGTAAGACTTGGATTCTAACCCTGTCAATCTCCTTTTATATTGTAAGAATTTTGCCGATCAAAAAAAAAAAATTTAATTCTATCATCTATTCATAACGTAAATTTTAATAAAATAAGTGAGAAAACTGCACATACATACCATCTAAAATTGTATTTTAAAAAATGCTTTTGATTTAGGAAAACTAAAAATAAAACAAAGTAAATCTATAAGGAATCTAAAACTAATGTTAAACGATACGGAGAATTGTTGCCTTGGAATCAAAAACATTAAAAAATCCTAGCCAGTTAGTCTTATTCATTAGCTTTTGTTAAGATTTGGTTCATTAGCTTTTGTTAAGATTTGGGTTAAAATTCCTTTCTTTTTTTTACTTTTTTTTTCCTTGCCTTCCCTCATGATCCATCTTGTCATGGTTTTTTTTTTCAACTTTAGATTAATGTTTATCCTCTTCTACATGCTAGAGCTAGACCATAATCAAAACGTTCTGTCCCTTAAGTCTTCCAATCCAAGCCCCAAAAAGTGAGCCGACAAACTCATTTTATCAGAACCACCATGTGGTTTATGGCCACAACCCAAGTCGCCCGTTTGGTTGGTTCTTCCTTTTTTTAGCTTAGGAGGGAAAACTAAATAATTAATTATTAATTAAAGGAAACCCTTTTGCTTCATAAGAAAAATTAATTAATCAATTTGTCAAACCACCAATCATGATTTTTCTTAAATCCCATTTATTTTTCCTATTTAGGAAGGTATTCCTTATTAAGGTCTTTCTTTTTAAGCCACCAACTCATTCAACAAATTGCTGGCATGCACTTTATTTTTATTTTATTCCGATTTATATATTAATATATTTTTTTCATTTTTGTAGTATTCACCACAAACATGATCATAGTCCTATAACCCTTCAATTAAAACAAGAATTCTTTACAGTAATCATATTCTGAAAAGCTTTTGAACCAGATGTTTGATCATTGTCGCCATGTTTACCCCACAAATGTCTAGAACCTGAGTCCAGCTAGAATCCAAGTTGCTTTAGATTCTGTGTTTAATTCAAAAGAAAGATTTCATTTCAGCTTTTTGTGAAACTTTTTTCTTTCTGATAACAATACATTATGTTTTCAACAGTAATATATGTTTATATTCCTATGCCCTTGCAATTTTGCATGAACTTCTAGTCAACTAGATTTCATCCTGGTGCTGTTGGCATTTGCTTTAATTAACATATAAAGTAGTTTTCAAAGTTGAATGCTTGAGTAAACATGGCCACTGTTTTCTCTAATAGACAGAATCATTACTTACAGTGATGTACAATGGAGAAAAAAAGTGTTCCTCTAATTTCTTAATAGTATCAGTTAACCTTTTTATGTATGTTATAAAATTTCTATATATGTTGATAGATTCGATACCAATGTGATATATAATTCATAATGCATCTTATCGTTGATAGATAATCTCCCTAAATCATTTTATAAATACGATAACTTGGACTTATGTAAATAACATTTATGCAAATTACTTTTTAGCTAAACAACACATAAATCGAAATTTAGAAATTCGATATGTTCAGGTCAACAATCTTATTAAGGTTTGTGTATCAACTTTCTAAACCCATAATGCAAGGTATAGAGGCACTAAACAATTTGTTTAGGTTATCTTTCCACCAAAACAAAGCTAAAAGTGTGAGTGATTATAAATTTGATACTTAACATGTTACAAACTAACCATGATGTAACCCTAAACTCTCTTTTCCTCAAAATGTGAGTTTAGGGCAGTGACACAATAATTGGGGCATATCTCTCTTTTGCTGGTCACTGGTTCATATACAACACTAATAGCTCTAGATTCTTCCACCATATGTGGCTCTAGGATTGACTTGTAACAGAGACATGAACATTGTCCCCTAATTTTTGCGGCACTTGACCGACAAGAGTGCATGAGCAGTAAATACCAATTGAAGGTTAAACATCCCACTGCTCTAATGGGTAAAATAGCAACATCCATGAAAGTGAAACAAACAAGCAAAAAAAAAAAACCTCTGCCTAAAGCAAAAAGTTAGGGCAAACATTTTTTGATGTTAGGGAGGAGTCATGCACTTAGATAAAGACTTGACTTCCTCATGCCAATGCATGATATCTAGGAGTTTGGATTTTCTCTTGTTGGCAATCAACATTGTAAAATTTTTCGATTAGACCCTTGTTTTAGAAGTAGTGAGAGTGTACAATTTTTAAACTTGTAGTACATTAAATATAAATTATTTATTATTAGGTTCAATTTATATTATCGTGTGGATGTTTTAAAATGTTCATGTCAAAAGTAAAAAAATCATGTAAGACATTGTTTTTTTTTTTTTAAATAATTTTTAACATGTAGTTTTGGGTTAGTGGGGTTTTGATAGTTTCTTTTGAAAAGTGGAAACTCGATGCTCAATTTCACTTTTATACTATAATGGTGTTGTGAGTCATCGATCTTGTGCTTGTGCATGAAGTGGAGAACATGGCTATATCATTTTATCCATAAAGGTTTTTTTTTTTTTTTTTTTTCCTTTTGGGATCGTAAGGACATGTCCGGATTTGGAACTAATGCAAGTACCAACATTATTCGTAGCTATACAATGTTATTTCCAATTTTCATCTTCCTAAATATGATGATAGGTTTTTAGTGGTTGTCGGCAACCTTCATGTGACGGTAAGAGATATTAACGTACATGTTCTTCCAAAATTTGAGCAAAATAAGTAAAGAAAAAGAAAAGAAAGAAAGAAAGTAAAGGGAAAAAGCACTAAAAAGAGGAAAACATGAAGTCTTGTCATTTAACCTTATCATGCATGAAGTTGCTTCCCAATTAGAATGATATAACATCAATCTTTTAGGGCACAAACATTTAAAGGAGATGCACTTATGGTTCCTATATAGATACTATAATAGGATTATTATTCACTAATCGTCAATGATCAAGTGACCTAATTGTTGATTCTTTTGTTGTAAAGTACTAAAGTAAAAAAGTTTGAAATGACATTGCACATTTAAATTATATTGTGTAATACGATAACAGAAGATTAATGATTTTTTAACAATTTAAATTTCACCTTAACTATCGTTATTAATGTTCTAAGTTTAAATTCTTCTTTATTCCTTCTTGATTTATCCAAATGTACAAAAAAGGAATAAAGACACAAGTGAATGGAAAATTTTCAGTTTATACCACAT